CACACACACACACACACACACACACACACACACACACACACACACACACACACACACTGTGGCTCCAAATGCTGCGGCAGCATCTGGATGATGTTGCCATGGTAACAGCAGCGGGCCTGACCCCGCCTCCTCTCCCCCTCTTCTTCTCCTCTCTCCACGCGCACACACTGTCTCCATGCACAGACACAAACGCCCCCCCCCCCCCACTTCTTTTAAGCTTTTTTTTCTCTCCCTCTGCCCTACTGGCTGTGTTTCCTTCAAGCTTGACCTGGATTCTGTTTGCGCTGCTACAGTGATGACAGCAGTGATGATGCTGATTGCTGACAGACACGGTCATCCGATCCACTTCCTGTATTTTTAGGGCCAACCCCTCCAAAAAATAAAGCCTTGAAATTACCTCCCTGGTTTTCTCTCTTCTGTTCTCCCTCCACTCACGCTCTTTTTTGCAACCACTCAGATATTTCTGTCATTCTSTTTCTTCTCCCTCCCTCCTCCTCCTGTTATTTCTCCTCCCCCAGTCAGTTTCTTCATCCTCTTGAAACTCCCTCKATATGTGCATAAAGGAAGCTTAAAAAAGCCTCCTCCATCACCGTACCCCCATTACACCCTCACTGTTAAAGCCCCCTATCCTCCAGCACACGCCTTTGCCCCCCCGTTCAGCTGATTGTTTTGACAAATACATCAGGTTTGAGAAGTCAGATCTTCTTGTTTTCTTTGTCACATTGATGTATGCAGTTCTTAAAGCCCAAGTGTTTAATGTGAGTTTTCATTCTCTTGGCTCTTTTAGGAGCTGGCAGGCTGGCAGCAATGTGCGCACATGGATTTATAGGCCCACACTTTGCCTAATATGAGTCATAGCTATCACTCATTCAAATGCACGTTTCCTCTRGACATAAAAAAATAAAATAAAAACGAGGGAAAGCAGGGATGGGGATTGCTCATTCATCACAAACCAAACAAATCAACTGTGGTATGTTTTCCCCAGCAAGTCTGTTTTATCAAGAACCTGATTTTTGTATAGTTTTTTAAGTYACGTCATTTTTTTTCCTASCTGTTCACTGTTTCAACTGTAAAATCAGCTCATTCAATTCCGTTTTACTATTTATTTTATTTTTTTTTTATATATATATTTTTGTTGCCTCTCGGGTGTTTTTAAGCTGCTTGTATCACATTTGTAATTTATTCAGGAAGCTCAACTAGCATTTTGTGAAAGCTGATGAGACTTCAAAAATAGAATGACTTTCTGCATGCAGAACACAAAACATAAACAGGAGTGCAAAAAAAACAGCTAAGCATTTATGGATTTGTTGGCTGAAATAAACAAACACAAAAAAGGCAAATGGGATTATGGAAAATGGATCTTTTGAACCCATGAAACTTTGGGATGTGAATCAGAATTAACAATCTTTATAAATGGAGGCAGGCAGTTTTGGTGCAGCATCACCTGTTGTTCAAATGCAATAAATTGCTTAAAAATTGGACCCTGACAGGTATTTATTTTGATTCGTGACATACGGCTCGGGGGGCAGCGAACATAACATCCATAGGGGAGTGTGACATGATCATATTAGTCTTTCTAATTCAATCTGTTCACAGCACTTGGACTCTATCATGGTTTATTCAGTAAGTTTAGCRTGCTAATTATGCTCCTGTTTCTCCCCCTCTTTCTCTCCCCCTTTTCCTTATTTGGACTGATTTATTTCTGCCCCCCGTCATCCTCCTGTAAAACCTCTCCCCTGCTCTCCGGGCRTCTCCTCCGCCGGCTCTGAAGTGGAGCTGGTGGACCAGCAGAGGGTGCTCAGAACGGGCTGCTTGGTGACGGGCGTTCACACTCCACCCATCAGGCGGAACAGCAAGCTGGCCACCCTGGGGCGAATCTTCAAACCCTGGAAGTGGAGAAAAAAGAAAAACGAAAAGCTGAAGCAGAGTTCCACAGGTACGGCACGGGGCTGGTGTCAAGACCTGGAGGGCGGCTGCGGGGCCTTCGCCTTTCACACACTCGTGTAATCGCGTTTTGTCCTCCGAGGCTCTAATGAATTCAATTAGAGAAGCGTAATGAGAAGGTGTGGGGGCGAGGGGATGTGGCGAGTCAGAGCGCAGCTGTTTGAACTGATTCATTCTCTATCTGTTTATAACCATGTGAATTTTGCTGAAGTCACATAAACACTCAGATATTATCCAGTTATTTATAATGACAAAAGATGAAAATTACAAGGACTTATGATTAGCGTCGGCTCAGTTTTTTTTTTACTTCTTGCAAGGTGAGCAAGACAAATGTGTTGGTTTTATTTTATTGTGCCACCTGTGGGAAATTCCTACATCAGTATCCCTATAGTTTGTTCTGTACAAATAATTATTTTACATGAATATGACTCCTGTTTAATCCAACAGTAAATGACTCTTCTTCCATTTCCAGATGTAGCATTATCCAGCGGTCTTATGTGCCATGACCCCAGCTCTCCCAGCCAAGGCTGCTGCTCAGACGGTGCAGTCTTACTTGGTGGCTTTGGGGGACCTTTGACTCAAAACCTCACAGTCAGCAGCGTGGAGTACCTTGGTCCTGAGGAGGAGCATTCCCTGTCAGGTACTACTAGTGGCTTAAGTGAAACAGATTAACAACAACACATTTGTAGAGGGCTTAATGTCTTTACACCAGCTTAAAAGAAGCTGGATTGTAATCAGTTTGATAAAATGCCTCAAACTGCTGCTACTTTGGTTCTTATTACTTTAAATTGATTAAAATACTACAGTACTAAATAGAACYGTAAAAACTGCATGTATCCAAAATGCAGAGTTGGGAATTAACTAGTTACATTTACTCAGTTAAATTTATTTGAGTAACTTTTTGGGGAAAAATACGTTTGTGAGTATTTTTACTAAGCTGTATTTCATACTTTTACTTCAGTAATTTTATTATGAAGTATTGCTACTCTTACTTGAGTAAAATTTCTGAATACTCTATTTACAATGAGTAACGTCTGAATGAAGAACAAGCTTGCTATTACCAAAAATTCACCAGACACAGACACACACCTGCAGTTTTTGTTAGTTTCATCAATTTTGTATTGCAAGAAACTGATTTGGGAAAAATAATTATTTGCCTGAATTTATTTTATAATTCTGTTATTTATATTGTTTTCATTTCAAGCTTTAAAATACTAAAATTTCCACATAGCTTTATTTAGTCCTTCTGATGATGTAATTTTTAAATATTAAACGACTGATGTTTTGATCAGTTACTCAGTACTTCAGTAGCTTTTTTTACCAAATACTTTTTACTCTTGCTTGAGTCATTTCTTGGTTTGCTACTTTTTTACTTTTACTTGAGTAAAAATATGTTGAAGTAGTGCTACTTTTACTTGAGTACAATTTTCTGGTACCCTACCCACCTCGGCCAAAATTAAGTTATTTTATTTTATTTATTTTTTTCATTCAGTGTTCAGTCATTTCTGTGTAAATTAATTTTCTTGATTTTCACCACTAGAGGGCAGCAAAGACAGCTGAATGGTGTTGCACTCATTCTACCCTGAGTGGTCTTTATTGTTTATATTATAGGCACAAGAAGCAATAAAAAAWTTTTTTAATGAATATCACTGCATCTGCAGAGTAAAATAATTTTTTATCACTGTAAAAAWTTTTTAGCAAATTGCATCTCAACTATCACTGATTTTGCAAATAATATTTAAGGTGTGTTTTCCGCATCACATAAATCATAACCCTACTCTTAGGTGGTGGAGACATATTAGCTCTGATCATACAAACTTTTCATCAAGCTATGTAACACATTACAGAAACTTTTATTTATTTATTWATTTTCTGTCTTTCAGTAGCCGCTCCTCTCCAAGACTGTGAACGGGTGGAGGAGAATGCCCCCCTACCGGAGGACGGGGGAGAGGAGGAGGCACACCCAGCCGGGGACCTGCCAGAGGGGCTGCAGGACTCGGGAGATCAGGTGGAGGAAAGAGCGGAAGAGGAGACTCCTCCAGGAACGTCTCCGCCT